CCCCATCACACGGCTTTTAGCTGCTGAATCTTCCCAGCGCACTCATTGTCTCACCATAATAGTAACACGGCATTTGTAGTCGAGCTGTTTTGAAGCTTCCGTTCCTTTGAGCGGGTCAAAATTACATTCGTCAAAAGACGACCCAAACCGAAAATGAATGAGCTAACCAGTGTATTGTACTTGAAGTTGTACTAATGCCCGTGTTTGTGATTTTTTTTGCTCGTTAAATGTTTGCAGAAATTATAAAAAAAATATTGCATACCCCCATCTTCAGTGTCATAATTTAAAATAAATGATAAAATCACTTGACATATTTGCTACGTTTGCACGGCAGCACTCTTTGAAGTTTCGAAGCCAAACTACTGCTCCTCCCATTGTTTAACAGGAGATTATCTCCAATGCGTTTACACGGTCGGTCGTGGCCGAACGAGAGCCGAGATCTGTCAGAGTTAAATTCAGTTCGATCGAAGCCAAACGGAACAGTGCCCTCAAATACTAAAGTATGAAAAAAAAATGGCTGATTTCATGCTTGTGTTGTTTCTTTACATAGCATGATGCTGTTGAGCTGGGAGAAAAAGAGTCTGAGACAATGCACTAGTGTTATGATTTAGGTATCTTAAATTATTATTATTATAATTTATTTAGAGAACTAGCTCATATTGAAATCACCAAAATTACTGAAAAATGAGATAAATACTAAGAAAATGTACATAATAAATATATTAAAAAACTCAAAAGTGTACTACATTTCATTACATCTGGGCTATAAATAGCTGTGTTTATCGCATTTTTACTTAAAGCGCGGTGGTCATCGCGTGTTCAAATTTCATGTAAATAAACAATGTATTTTACACGCGTTGTATACGTCGCTATGAGTCCCATATCGAACAGGAAGCGGCACGACGACTGCCACCTTTTAAATAAACAGGATACACTGCATTTAAAGTGCCTGTGAAATGGCTGCTATTTTCTCTCCTAAAATTATTCATTGGTACATCAATATTATTAATTGTTATGTTTCTAAGCATAAAATATTTTTTTAAGTGAAAAAACTCAGTCTACGACAACTTTATTTTTGTGTATTTTAAAACGAGGCTTCTCATTAGCTTCTCATTTGCATACAGAAATTCCCCATTGCGTGTATATAAGGCACATTTCTAGTACTGTTTTCAATTACAATTACTTATATGGTAGTCAGTCGAAGTGTCAACTTCTATTTCCACGGAACTCTATACGCCTATGTCGATCATCGCCAAGTTTTTCAAAATCGACTTTGATGCCTGAATTGTCTTGTTATTTAGCAGGTTACTAGGCATGTCACTGTTTTATTTCATCGATCGTCTTCTGAGTAAAAAAGCATTCAAAATTAAATTAAAAAGAAAACATATTTTGACATTCTAAACATTTGATCAATAAAATAGAGAAATAATTTTAAAAAAACGGCAAATCACAGTTACTGAATAAACCACAGCCGCATGGAAATAAATTGACATTCTGTTTAAATGGGTGAACATGTTGGGTCACAACAAGGACAAGTGTGTGAATGGCAGCGTTTGATTGGATAACAAAAATAATTGAGAACGACACATATTCAGACAAATTCAGAGTGGATTCATAATTATGACATCATATTAAAAATTTACTTGGTCGAAACACATTGACAGCCATGATTGTTACGCAGATCAAGCTGCAAGTAAAGGTAACAGAGGTGTCACTGTGAATTTGTCATTCAACACCAATCACCGAGAAATTTAGCAAAAACTTTTAGCCTGTAAAAATGAAAACTATTAGCAGTGTTGTGTAAGTGCTGCGTAATTTCCTTTTGTCCGGTGCTTCGTCTTTGCGTCACTATCAAAATTATTGTTACATGTACCTCTTACATAACCCACCTCGGTGAACATGGACTGGTCCGGAATCGATTTCTTTGAAAAGTTGGTATTGCGCCAGGTTTAAGTTAATATAGGGTTCATCAGTGACTGACATATTAAAGGGAACTAAATAGAGCCTATTTTGGTGTTTGTATTTATCAAGTTATGTATATTGATTATAAATTTGAAAAAAAAATGATTATCTTCGGAGTTATGATGATTTAAATATGAGAAACCATAAACCTGCGAAGGACTTTCGTTTGCGCCATCTTGCCATAAAAAAACGCCCTCATGAGGTATAAACAGGTAAGGTAACAAAGCATGATGACGAAATAGTACCTGATTAAATATAAGCAACTTAGGAGCCATAGTTGGCTGGACTGGTGAAATGACTTCTAGTCTAGGTTCTTTCGACTTTTACGTTAATGTTATTTACAAGCGTATCAACATACAAACATTATGGATGTGCGATTGATCGAGACAGGCATTTTGTTTTGTTTTTTGTCTAACTGTCTAATAAATGCTGTTTCCAGTACTGCACTGTGTGGCGCGCAAATTATTCAAAGAATGGATGCTGGAGTATGCAATCTTGAGTTCGTAGGGTGATGGTGGAAACATTTTCGTCCATGTATTCATGGGGCTGCACTGGCAAATCATGGGACAAGTGTCACAGGAACACCAAGCAGATAGTTCACAGACTTGCATGTAATTTGGAATAAAACTATCATTCGAACAAGGGGCATCGTCGACGATATACTCTCATCACTCACACTAGACTGACCTGAATCTTCACAGTATACCGTACTTCCCTAATAAAGCCAGGAGGCATGAACACGT